ACTTTCTACATTGTACCACAGGCGCCTGAGGTGTGGATCGATAGCTTCCCCTAAGAAAATGTAAGAGCGCATAATATTTTAAAAACATATCTTTAAAAAAAAACCGTCAATCAAATGTATATGTCTAGATAGTAATTTTTTTTTTTTACACATTTAGAGAATGGCCTTACACGGTATAATAAAAATACATAATTATATTATACTGTCTAACATTTTCTAAACATGGGAAAAAGCACTATCTGCTTGCATAGAGGAAGAAATTTTTTATTTAAAAAAAGGGGGGGGGGGCAATCGATCCACACTTCAATTAGACGCCCGTGCTTTCTATTGCAAGTTAACATAAGACACAACATAACATAGATAACATAACACATTTAAAAGGTAATATAACGTAATCGGGGCAACTTTTCTTAACAGAATTTCCGGAAATCAGTATGACTCATGCTATCAAACATCAAAGGGACTTTGACAATGATTATGACATCATAATACAGGTTTACATAGATGCACAACGTCAACAAAGCAGTTGGAATGCAAAATGTAAGTATAGACTTTAAGCCTTAGAATATCTAGCAGATGTAATTAGTGACATTTTATAAAGTATATTAGGAATCAAGCTTTCGTCTCGAGAGATTTTAAATGAAAGTCATCGCCAGTAATGTATTATTCCAAGCAAGCTAATTGATTCAGTACACTGCCCCCTTTTTGAGTGTTGTTTTATATAAAGCCTTTGTGAACGAATAGTTAGGAGTTGTTTTTTTTTTTACTTTGACACGAATTTACATGTACATGTAGCAAAATTTACTTGTTGTAGATTGCTTTCAAAATACTTTGATACAATACAAGTTAATTATTACGTCATGACGGAGGTCTTTGACGATGACCTATGACGTCATAGTTAAGTTTTGTTTACACAAAAGTGATGGAAATGCATCTCGTAAGTAAAAATTCATAATGCTTATGAAATGTTTTTGGGTTCTTGTTACACAACATTTTTATGCAAAATTATTTTTTATTAGCTCCTAGTATGCATAAGTGGTTGTATATTATATGATAAAGGGAAAGGACTATATGAGTATTTGGAACTTGTGTCCGATCCCTTTGACATGTTGTCAATAAAATATGTTCAAAACAAATCATACAATTTTTAATATCTGTCAAATTTCAGAATTTCACATGTTAAAGACGTTTTCTTGTAAAAACAATCATTTGTTATTTACTGATGAGATTGACATTTCTTTTTAAATATTGATACCAAATTTAAAATTAATTTCTTTTCTTCAGGTTTGATATTCATATCTAGTAATTCAAGATTGCAATGACTTCAAACCTCTGCAAATCTAATTTTTTTTTCAGAATGCAGTTGTGAGCGAGAAAATGTACAGCGAAAAACGACTACAAGAAATTCTGACCCAGCTGGCCTGCCGATCAGCTGATGTACCTATAGACATGCTTCCCATCCCTTTTGTAAGGAGCTTATTAGACATTTTAATTAGAATTTTTAAAGTCTTTGCTTTGCCTTGGAAGGCTGTGAAAAAAAGAGGGGGGGGGTAATTTTGAACTCCTAGAAAAATAAAACAAATTCAAGTCTTTATAAAATAAAACTAGAGTAAGGTGAAAGGGAAGTAACCTTTTTTTCATTGATGCATGCAGCTTTTTCAAACGTTGAAGATAATATTTAATTTTGGAACATCTTATAATACTGCATTAAATAGTTTAACAATTATCAGTATTTTGCAATGTCAATAATTTTCACAGTTTGTAATTTGCTTAATTCCTGAAACAATTCTTTTTACCATTGCAGGACACAGAATTAATTCTGGACTTCGGAGATGAAGCCGTTAAAGATCTGGTGAGTATATTGAAGACTGTTATTTTAGCCAGATAAATGATTCTAAATATATAGCTAATTTTAATCGCGATGCTAGATTGGTGTCCTTTGGAAAAACTCTCTAGTGTCAAGAAGTTCCCTATATGCATCATCCACGTATAAATTCTTTTGTTGAAGAGAGTTAATTAAGAGTTCAAATTTCAAAATTATTGAAAAATGAAAGAGAGAGAGAGGGATTCATGTAAAAAGCATCTGGGTTTATTTTTTAGAAATCAAAGAAAGAGATCCTAAAGTTTGAAAGGAACTGGGTAGATATGGTGGAGGAGGAAGAACTGCGACAGGTAATGCTGGGCTTTATTACCGGCCGCCAGGAGGCGGTCGGTTATATGATATGAAAGTTTTAAGTGGCCGTGCGTTTCTGCGGAGTTAGAACAATTTGAATAAAAAATATTTGACATTCATGTAATAGAATATTTAGAAAGGGTGTCTAAATGTAAAATAAAAACGCATAATAATCATAAAATTAAAATTTTGTGAAAAATGGGTTAAATTGTTTCATCCAATCCTGATTGACAAACTCCGACGTAACTGAAGTGCGGAGTATTAAGCACACATGTTGAGCATAGTCTAAAGCAAGGATCGCGTTATTTACATGTCTAAACAAATTTTACTTTCTCTACTTCAACAGGATTTGTAGTATATATAATTTAAAATGACGTGTAAATATAAATATACAATGTACTTTTGATACGGACAATTTTCAAAAATTTGACTTAATCTTAATTTATTATCAGACAGAATATTAGGAGATTTTTCTCCAACAGACAAGGAAAATGCGCGTTTTACAACATGCCAAGCCTTTTCCCGCCACATCTCACTCGGAGTTCCTCGGATGACTCGTACCTCGCACATAACCTCGGACGTCAACGGTGATCTACCATCTTGCTGATTCAGTCATGTGATCTTATTTGAATTTTATTCAAACATCGTACATTTGAAATCGGAGTTATTTAATGGCACACTCAACAGTTTTTCTTGCTTTCAAAGCCTGTTAACATGAGGATGTAATCAAAATCTGTTTACGATAAAGAATTGTACAAATTAAGATACATTTTCGAGGAACGTTATGCAGAGCGAATTATGAAATGAGTGATAAGGCAGTTTCCGGCGGAGAAATGTAAGGATCTGTTGCGTATTCCTCCACTAATCACATCCGAGGTTTGAATGGAGCGTAGCGGAGTCAGCCGAGGATTGCCGATTGGCCACATCTCGCACCAAAACAAGACAGAGAGAAATGTAGTGGCGGATCTAGAGGGAGTTGGGGGTTTCAAATTCTGAGCGAGCGAGGAGCCCCACATAGTTGTTACGTTTTATTTAAATTAATGTTAAACTATCTCTAGTTAGATGAGTTTAAACGTTATTTTTTATGGTTAAGTGTTAAAACTACTTAAACATCAAACTTCCGCCAGAGTTCGTTTATAGTATTAATTAAACTTACTGAGTGCGGGGACGCAGAGGGCTATGAGTAAGTTGCTTAAATACATTGTACATGTAGCAATGTATATGTATTATGTACTAAAGAAAATCCTGGGATGTCGCATTCAAATGTTTAATGTCACAGGGATATATATATTAATTAACAGATAAATATAAGAATTCAGTTTCTAATTTATTATATGAAAGAATTAATTAATTGGTTTGCGGCCGATTTTTGACGCTTGCGTCAATATGTTTCTTGTAAATATCTGATATGATTGATTGATTATTTGTTGTTTAACGTCCCTACCGAATTTTTCACTCATATGGGGACGCTATTATTGATCTTAGTTAATTCATATGAGAACTGTTTTGGTTTACAAATGAGCACAATTTGAAATTATGTATAATTTTTGTCTATGATATACTGACTTTTAATTTAACATTTTTTGTTGAATAATTTAATTTAATAAGGATTGGGAAACAGGCAAAGAGCTTGCGCACCCTCTCCTTGTATAATAGGTCATTATAATACCTGTTATGAATGTAACCATTTTATCTATTTCATTAATTAATTTATTATTTCGTAAATTGTTTATTTAGGAAAACTTATCAAAGGTAGAAGGGATGTTGAAAGTCATGGATTTCCAGATCAAGTTGAAAGAAGAAATGCAAGAAGAACTTAAGGTACTATATACTATGCTTTCTATGAAGTTAATTTGTAAAATGATATTAGTCTACTCTTTGCAGCCCAGATTGATAAATATTATAACTGTATTTACAGAAAGAAGCCCCAAGTAAGATTGTCAAGCTAAGAAGCACATTTATTGGCATTGAAAAATCCAGAAAAGCATGGAAGCCTATCCACCAAGAACTGATGGTAAAATTTTCGGAAACATATGCTTTATCTTCTACCAAATTATCCTTTTATTTTGGGGTTTAAGTGTCTATGAGATTAAAATCTGATTTTGAATTCACTGAATAAATTTTTGACTTTTTTTATAGGCATTTTTGACTCAAAAAGATCAGGACAAAATAAAAGTTCAGTATCAGAAGAAGATCATGATGAAGATGTTTAAAGAGCTAAAGGTAAACATGCCAAATATTAATGTAATTAGTTGCAATGCATCAGGAACTGAAAATGCAGAAATTCTCCATTTTAAAAAGGTTTCAGTAAACTGTTCATTACTCTTGATAAATCTTTGATTTTCAGGAAGTAGCATCAAGAGAATATGAGAACAGGAATGAGAGATTAGAGAGAAGACAGACCACTTGGAGAGGGGTTCACAAAGAGTTAATGGTAAGTTTTCATGTGTTTATCCTTTGCTACATTTTAGTCCTTTTGCATGATGTTCTCAGTTTTAATGGTCCTGTCTTGTTATGTTTGTTTGTTTTGTGTTTGTTTTAATTTGATTATTCTTTAATGATCTATCATATTCATCTATTCTATTCATCTATTCAATTCAACTACTGTAGATCATGGCAAATATTCACGATGGTTTTAATTTCGCTATATCGCGATTTATTAATTTTCCAAGAATTTAGACCCATCGTAGATTTTATTATTTGTTTTTAAAGCGTTTAAATACTTACACAAAATTTTGTATCAATTTCTTGCAGCATGAAATTAAAACCATTGCAATTGTTACTTTTTGAGATATCATGAAAGGATCACTTCTAGGTTTATATATGCTTTGACCTATAGGACCGATAATGGTTTTAGTCTTTAGAAAAAGCTCATCGATTTCCGTTCCGGTCAATGACTTTAGGCCACATGCGTGTAGTTTTTTGTTTCTGATGAATCGCTTAAGTTCTGGTCAATACCTTTAACGTGTAGAAATAGACGAAACAGTTTTACAGTCATTATCTTAGCAGCTTGGATTATGGATGCATTTTTTATTTGTGTAAAAAAAAATGCAAATTATGAAAATGGTTGGTTGTTTGTTGTAACTTGTTTGACACCCCTCTTCAAAATTGTTCATTCATATGAAGACTCCACCACTTGCCGTTGGAGAGCTGCAAATTTTTTAGCTATACTCGGCACTCAGGGCCATTAGGAGTTTTTTCGTGCCAGCATCGAAGTACTGTGCCACAGGACCTTAGTTTGAACGGTCTCATCCGAAGGACCGGTCTCCACGTCCCACAGTGGAATTCGAATCCGCGACGCAATGATCAACTCCTTACTCCGCGATTCTAGAGCAGATGCTCCATCACTGTGCCACGTGGGCGACTTATTGTGAAAATGAAATTACTATGAAAATGAAACAAAGAATTTGAAATTACTTGTCATTAATGAAAAAAACCTGATCAGGGTATAGACAAGCTAATTCAGAGAATTCGTGTCCCCCGCTTAGGGAAAAAGTCGGATCCCCCTGACTGAATTTGTAGAATTATTAAATGTATGTATACATATATACTGAAGCAAATAAAATACATGTATGTTAGCCTAATATGCATATAAAGATTTGGTTGCTTATTCTTTATTATGTGTATAGAAGATTCTTTTTATATGGAATATTTATCACACTGTAATGATGATTTTATAACCTCATAAATTTTTCATTTCACATGCTGAATACTATCATTTAGTTAAAAAAAGAAAGAAAAGTATTTAAAAAAAAAAAAAGAAACTTTGGACCAGCCGAGTATCGATCCCGGGACCTCTCACATTCGAAGCGAGAGACATAACCACTACACCACGGAATCGCTATACATGGTGCGAAGTATATGCAGAAGTGAAGTCACATACATGTATATATTCATGTTTTCACGTTAGGTATTCTCAAAATTTTACACAATCCATGGTGTTTGATTTATTTAGCCTTTATTAAACAGTTCTAATAGATGTAATAAGAACATAAAGTACGCCGAGAACCTGTTTTATACGCAATAACTCTCCTCATGCCCCTGCGCTAAAAATAGCGACATGTAATACTATAAATACTAATAAAACAAACGGGGCGGGGCACTTTGAGAGGGGTGAGAGACGTCCTAGGGAGTTTTGGTATAAAATTACATTGCATAAGCTCAAAATCTTCTTGAAATATCGCCCGGAAATGATAGTGTTACACACGGACAGAATGTATAAATTTACGACCTTGAACTTTGACCTTTTGACCTCAAAATCAATAGGGGTCTTCATTAGGCCACAGAGAGTTGTTATGTAAAATTTCATTGCAAAGACGGACGGACGGACGGACGGACAGACGGACGGACGGACGGACGGACAAACCCAAATTAATATCCCCCACTTTTCAAGCGGGGGACAATAAATTGACTTCAAGGTATACAATTTTATACAATGTAACTTTAATGTACTGGTATTCAGCACGCCCTTCTCGTAACATGGCGGGGACCTTGTTCTGTTTTATGTTTGTAGTGTGAAAATTTTTTAAATAAACGAACACTTAAAAAGATTGGGGTCTTACTGTCATGTTCGACAAGATTATTCAGGAATATTTGCTGCATCTTGGATGTTTGGATTTTTGGAGGGAACTAGTGTGTGAGACTGACAACGGGCATAACCTAAATACCATAAAACAGAAGCAACGTGAGCACAGCACCCAACTGTCCTAGCACCTACTTTACAATCGCAATACCAGCCAGATATAGGGTTTCCCTCTGATTGGCTTTTTTCAATCCAACAATTGTATTTTTTGGAAGATACATGGCGAGACTGTATTTTAACATGTACAAGATTTGAAAGGTTTTCATTCTGATTCACAGAAATTTCGTAATTACCTTGTACGCTTACATGTTCATTTACGTAATTGATTGCCTGTTTCAACTGGTATATACCAAAAGTGGTGTCTCTTAAGTATTGTTCTGATAGAACAGGAAAGTCTATTTTTACGCCTGAATCTTCTGCATCAAGCTTAACCCACTTTTCTTTCTTTGTAATTCGAATATTTGATACTTTTTCCATAACATGATTGGGTTTAGATTTTAGTGAGAGCATTTGTTGTGCAAGCTTTTCGTCTTGTGGTTTATCTGAAACAAGAGGTGGTCTATAGGCATTTGTTAAAGCTGCGACAATTCTGACATAGTCTCCGATGAATGGTATTTGTGTATTTGTTACTACATTGTAGAGAAACTTCCAACGTTTTAATCTACCGTTGGCAGACTCGACGACCCAACGAAGTTTTGTGACAAGCCTTGAACTATTTGCCTCTTCTGTTGTATGTTGTTTGAGAGATTTGTTAAGAAATGCTGGCATTTCACATTGATAACCGAAATCTGTAATTGTTTCCATAGCATCGCGAAACCCACGGTCAAGAATAAATATGTCTTCTTCATTTAGCCAATCGACGATGCCCTCTGCATTGGATTTTAACATACTTGTCAAAATATGGGCATCGCTATTTTTGCCATCTGCAAAGAATGGACCCAAAACACTTACAATATAACCATCTGTACTTGTGATCATCATAGGCTTTATAAGTGGGCGGCCTTTATGTACTGAGAAACATCTTCGTTGTTGCGTATAAGAACTACTTTTTTCAATATAAATGTAGGTGCCGTCCATTACAAGAATGGCTGTATCGTCTATCCAGTCAGAAAACAGCTCTTTTGCAAAAACTGTAGTATGATTTTCTATAATCTCGGAACGTGAAATATGAGAAAAACCTAAAAATGAAGGTACAAAGTCCTGAAGAAATGCTTTTCTTGCAGAAGCAACAATGTGAGAAACTTGCATTTCAGTAAAACCAAACAAAGTTGCAAGAATAGAATGAGACATGCCTGTACGCAATTTTGTGAGTAAGAGACCAGTAGCCTCTCGAGTAGAACGAATTGTAGATGTGAGAAAAACGAAAGACGACTAACAAGATCTTCAAACTGGTCATACGTAAGACCAGTTAGATTAAAATAATCTTCATTAAATAGATTTATGCTCTTCCTAAAATCAAGCTTTTTAGAGAAACCCTGCAATATTCTTTCCCTCATATCACTAAGTAATTCTGTTATTTCATTTTGGTTGATTTCTGAGGAAAACTTTCTGAGTTTAGCAGTATCAAGCACATGCCCAACACGCAAGTGGTCATCTTTCAAATGAGATATACAGCATTTGACCCCAGCTGGTACCAATACACCTTGCTGTATGAAAATGTCTGCGCGGGCTGAATGTGGGATGATTCGCAAACCCTTTGATTCTTTGCGACAAATGATGCACAGCGCCTTAGTTTTCCCAACAGAAATAACGGGAAGAGTAACGCTAGCAGAGGTAGATGGAATTTTACTAGGAATTTTATCAGATTTGTTAACTGTGTGGTCATTTGGCCCTCCCTCAGTATTAACAGATACATCCTTTGTATCAGCTAGGAACCTTACCTGATGCATGGGTAATGGCAACGGGGCATACTACCTTAAATGACCCTACCCCACTCTTTTCTAATCTGTAAACCTTCCTTCTGCATTTTTGGCATAAAATATCGCCAACGCTCACATTTTTACTGAGTAATGAACTACATCTACTTTGTAGTATCTCTCCCACAACAGTACCATTTCCAAGAGAAGTTCTACAAAGGCAAACGCAGCAATTTTTGCTCGGCATGACTATTCCTTCCTTACACCTGTATCGAGTAACACAAAGTGAATGATTCGTGTCCTCGAACAAAGTGTGCTAACACTGAGGTATAGTTCCGGTTGACTGCGTTTAGTATTAATGATCTGTAGTTCCATTAATGTCTTTATTTTAACAGCAAACATGCATTTAAGAAAGAAAATAGAAATAAAATACAAAAGCTTGTATAAAAAATAATTAAAATAGTGTTTATACAAGTAAAAGTTTTTAAAAAATAAGTTTTCCAACTGGTGGATTCGAACCAGGACACAAAAAAGGTTTGTGTAGATCGTCCACGGCCTATCTTACTGAGCTATACTAACTATATATGATTGAGTCATAAATATAAACCAGTATGAAAGATATTAGTTTTCGCATTTTTTTGAGTTTTTTGTGAATTTCGACCCTAGGGCAGGGGTGCCCCTAAAAAAATCCTGTTTTAAATCATAGATTATATCAATATCTTTCAAAATAACCTGATTTGATTTAGGGGCAGGCCTGCCCTGAAGGACTTCTACGTCAAAATTCACCCAGAATTTAGTGTTTTAACGGACAAAATGCTGTTTTGGCCAACTTTGGAGGTTTATTATAAAGTTACAAATAATGAATTTTAGATTTAAAAAGCAAATTTGAAAAATTTAGACAAATGTATGGTAGAAAAGAACTAAAGAACCTTGATTTTTAAATGTGATTTTTTCCGGAAAATCATTCTCTCCTATAGGTCAAATCTTTTGTTATTCCGAATACATCCTTTTAACACCGTGGAATTAAACACTGTTAAAACGACTTACAGTATTCAAAACTAAAGCCAATTTCATAATTTTTAAGAAAATCAAATTTAAGGGCATAATACAGACCAAACTGTATCTCTTTTTGCCTATGATTTTTGTGAATAAATGTTTATGATATTAAAATTTGATTTTAATTTTATTATTTATTATACAGGCAGTTTTGACTAGGAGAGATCAGGACAAAATAAAAATACACCATCAACAAAAGATCATGTCTGAGATGCTAAAAGAGCTTAAGGTAAACATGCCAAATGTTACTGTTATTGATTGCAAAAATGGTGATAATTAACAATTTTAACAAAGGTTAAGTGTCAAAAGTTTTTGATGAATTTTGATTTTCAGGTTGTGGCATTAATGGATTTTGAAGGAAGAACTGCAAGAGAAGAAAAGAGGAAAGCCATACACAAAGAGCTGATGGTAAGTTTACATTGTTCATCCTTTGTGTTATATTTGAATAAGTCATTTTGCATGATGTTCTCAATTTTATCAACTTTTTAAGAAAATAACATTTTTAGGGCACAATACAGACCAAACTGTACCTTCTTCTTAGCCAATAATTTTCATGATTATATTTTAACGATATTTAAATTTTATTTTTATTTTATCATTATTATCCAGGCCGTGTTGACTAGAAAAGATCATGAGAAAATAAAAGTCCACCATCAGAGGAAGATCATGTCTGAAATGTTAAGAGAGCTTAAGGTAAATACATGTGTATGCCAAATGTTAATGTTATTGGTTGCCAAAATTGGTGATAATTAACAATTTTAACAAAGGTTACCGGGTAATGTAATTTGTTTTTGATGAATTTTGATTTTCAGGTTGTGGCATTAATGGATTTTGAAGGAAGAATTGCAAGAGAAGAAAAGAGGCAAGCCATACACAAAGAGTTGATGGTAAGTTTTCATGCATTATGTTCTCAATTTTATTAACATTTTAAGAAAATAAAATTTCTAGTGCACAATACAGACCAAACTGTACCTTCTTAACCAATCATTTTCATTATTAATTGTGTATGAAATTAAAATTTGATCTTTATTTTATTATTTATTATACAGGCAGTTTTGACTAGGAGAGATCAGGACAAAACAAAAATACACCATCAGAAGAAGATCATGTCTGAGATGTTAGAAGAACTTAAGGTAAACATGCCAAATGTTACCGTTATTGGTTGCAAAAATTGTAATAATTAACAATTTTTAACAAAGGTTAAGTAAAAATAGTTTTTGATGAATTTTGATTTTCAGGTTGTGGCATTACTGGATTTTGAAGGAAGAATTGCAAGAGAAGAAAAGAGGCAAGCCATACACAAAGAGCTCATGGTAAATTTTCATTGTTTATCCTTAACTAATCTCATATATTCTTGTATTTTTTGAATATGTTCTTAATTTTAATGATCCTGTCTTGTTTTGTTTGTTTGCCATAAGTAATATTAATTTTATTGAAAAATTTTCTTATAGATAGTTTTGACTAAGAAGAAATTCGAAGGTGAACAGTTCAGAAAACAACAGGATATGATGTTGAAGATGCTAAAAGAGCTTAAGGTAAACTCCCTTTCATTGTTAAAATGTGTAAAAATCAATTTTAATATTCACGTATTGAGTAAGATTGAAATAAGTGTAGTTATAAGGTTCTTAAAAAAAATTAAGCAAACTTGTTAAGAAATAATAATTTTAAAAAGAAAAAATGAATTGTAGGTGGTGACATCAAAATTTGTGGACCACAGAAATGAAATTAGAAATTGTTTTCAAGAAAAAGATTAATTGTGATATCGAATATTTGATTATATTTTGTAAGTTTTACCATTTGTTTCTTTATCTTTTCAAAATTTAAATATGTATTTTTTTTTTCATTTGTTTTTAACAGACAGTTTTGACCAAACGAAATTTGGAAGAAAAGCAGTTCCAAATTCTAAAGGCACTGAAGTCAGCAATGCTTAAAGAGCTTAAGGTAAGTCATTTAGACCATTTTTAAAATATTGTGTTATTTCCCTGTTTCAATTTAAATGACTGGCTAAAAAATTGTTCCTTTTTTACCTCCCCCCCCCCAAGGAACCGATCATTTTTTAAAATTTATACAACAAAAATGATTTTAAAAATTCAGCACTGGTGTTTGGTAGGTGGGTGGGGTGGGGGTCATTTTCATTTACCTAGCAACATAATTTTTTTTAGAGTGTAAACAAATATAAGTAGGCCTTAATTTAGCAGTTATACATGTAACTAATGTTTTTGTTTGTCAAATATTGTACTAAACATATGACTTTCAAAATTTTGAATATAGAAAAAAAAATCAATACATTTTAAAAATGACTGAATAATTTTCTTCTTCTAGAATTAGAATTAAAATCAAACAAAACAAAATCAAATATTTCTGTACCTAATGAAGAGTTCCCTGTTTTATAGAAATTGAACAAAGACAACAAATCAGACTTAGAAAAGGAGGAAGAAGAAGAATTATTTGTCCCACGGAAACTGTTTCTATTTAAAGTGGATACCTTCAAAACTTCTCCACAGGTAAAAATTTGATATGACATTTTTTAAGAAATCATTTTGAAATATTTCTTGTGCAGAATTAAATTGTATTGATTTAAATGTTTTATGCATACCGTATAATTCCTATTAACCAGCCCGGGCACTTAGAAAATTGCCAAAATGGGGCTCTTTTTTTTTTTGGTATTCTTTTTATAATATTTTAATGTCATATTCTAACATTAAAAAATCTGTTGAAAAAAATTTCAAAGAACCGCTAAAATAATGTTTAACTTAATTACTTTAAGTGAAGATAATCCATCCAAATTATGCTAAATGATTCATTATCCACTGAGATATTAGATAAAACCTTGTGGGCAAAAATGACTTCTTAATATTTGTTAGAGGTGCTTTATGGAATAAATTCTTCCATTTAGAATGTAGAGACTGAAATTTTGCCATCAGAGATCAAGAACAAGAATGACCACTGTGCAACAAGAGTAGAAATGGTATTGTATGCATTTATGTTTATCAACTATTTTGGTTTAAAAAAAAACAAAATTTTGACCAAAGATTTTTCTCAAAAGCTGAATGTACTCTATTTAAAAAAAAGGAGGGAAAAAAATCTGTGATCTAACTACTGTTACTATAATTAAGGAGTAAATTACAGTTATTATTTGTTCTTTTCTTATATCTACTTGTAATATTTTCAAAATAGCAAAATTTAACTCTCTCTCTTATATTTAATTAATTAATTTGATTTTTTCAGATGCCCGGCCTACAGAAAAAGAAATCACTTAGAGGAAGACTGAGGAAATTCTTTGGCTTCAAATAAGACGTGTGGAACCTTGTTTATTGATGATGAAAGCTGTTATATTTCATGATGGAAGATACATGTATTTACTTGTGGTTACCAGCCAGATATTACATGTACCTAGCCATAAACTAACTTTTGAGGGCCATAATTGGTCGATCATCTTTTAATTAAATTTTAATTCTTATTAACTTCTGTTTACCAGTTTTTCCATTGTTTTAATAAATATATATAAAATTGCATTTTTATTGGTGTATATTTTGCATGGAATGGTTTCTTCAGTTATAATTCAGAATATTGTATTGTATGTAAATTGGTTGAATATGATTCGTGGAGAAACATAAAAAAAAACTGTTACCCTCCAGCGTACCACAGTCAAGATTGCTTGACAACAGGTAATATTCCAAAAAAATGTTGACTGCGCAGAATTTATGCCACCAGTGAAAAAAAAATCATGAGGTTATAAAATCATCATTAAAGTGTGATAAATATTCCATATAAAAAGAATCTTCCATACACATAATAGGCCCGCTTGTTTTATTGTCCCCCGCTTGAAAAGTGGGGAATATTAATTTGGGTTTTTCTGTCCGTCCGTTCGTTTTTCTGTCTGTCTGTAACGCTTTCATTTCCACAGATATCTCGAGAACCCTTTGAGCTTTTGCAGTGAAATTTTGCATAGCAACTCCCTATGGACTAAAGAAGACCCCTAAAGATTTTGAGGTCAAAAGGTCAAAGGTCAAGGTCATAAATTCGCAAATCCTGTCTGTTATAACACTTTCGTTTCCCCGCGATATCTCGAGAACCCTTTGAGCTTTTGCAATGTAATTTTACATAACAACTCTCTGTGGGTTAAGGAAGACCCCTATTGATTTTGAGGTCAAAAAGTCAAACTTCAAGGTCATTAATGTAAACATTCTGTTTGTTTGTAACATTATCGTTTTCGGGCGATATTTCAAGAGGATGTTGAGCTTTTGCAATGTAATTTTATACCAAAAGTCCCTTGGACCTCTCTCACCCCTCTCAAAGTGCCCCGCCCCATTTGTTTTATTAGTATTGATTGTAGAGATTGATTACATGTCGCTATTAACAGCACAGGGGCATGAAGGAGAGTTGTTATAAAACAGGTTCTCGGCAGACTTTGTAGTAGTTACCCCATATCATACTGTTGGTTATGTGTAGATACCCGATGGGCGTGGTCATAATGACACGAGGGAGCGTAGCTCCCGAGTTGTCATTATGACCACGCCCATCGGGTATCTACACATAATCAACAGTGTGATATGGGGTAAATGACTTGTACCATAGTTTTCAAAAATCATTCATATGTAAGTCAGCTTAGGAATCGGTCGGACTGGTTCGCGTGATTGAAACATTAAGTGTTTGGTTTCAAAGATGCATTTGGATTTTATATGATTTTACGCTCCTTCGTGTCCTTCTGACCACGTCAATGGAATATAGGGTAAGTCATTTGTATACAATACTTTGCAAATTTTGCTACAAATGTTGCCCTATACTCGGCACTCAAGGTCATTGAGCAGTGAGGGATCTTCTTCTACGACATGGGACCTCTGTTTATACTTTATAGGTCTCCACGCCCCACAGTGGGTTTCAACTCTACTTCGT